TATAATTAAAAATAATCAGTAATAAAATTATCCTTTTGTCTATAAATTAATTGAGAATTAATAAAATAAATACTTTCTCTAATGCCAATGTGTAGCACTTGTGAATCTATTCGTTTCTCTGAAGAATTTATACTTAATAGTAGCAACTACAAAACTTGTAATAAATGTAGATTCGCAAGATCTAAAAAAAAAAGTGAATCAGCCAGTAGCTCCAATATTGAAAACAATTTCATTGAAATAATTTCTATACAAGAAGTTAGTCGCTCCAATATTGAAAACAATTCCATCGAAATAATTCCTATACAAGAAGTTAGTAGCTCCAATATTGAAAATAATTTTATTGAGATAATTCCTATACAAGAAGTTAGTTAATATATTATAAATACAATTGATGACTTAGAAGACTATGCTGAACTTTCTCTTGTCCTTCATATTCAGCTTGATAAATCCATGATAAATAATACTGATATAAATGTCAAAATCATAGCAAAATTAATAATTGATGAAATAGAAGAGGAAGATGGTTACAACTGGACGTATGTAATAAATAAATATATACTTATCTTATATTGTTTAATTATAGTTGCCATCCAAATTACAATTTTTAAAAAAAAATTAAGATTGTTTTTTAAACATATAACATGTATTTAATTATATACTAATTACCTGTAAATATAGAGCCACGACTGCACCTAACTTTTCAGCTTGTCATTATAACGTCGGAAATGCTTACTTTGCTTGCTTCCAAAGTTCAGAGCTTGAACGTGAACTTAAAGATTCGAATCGAAAAAGAACTATTCATTATAATTGTAGTGGCAAAGTATCAATTAAAATTAATATACCAGCAGCAGAAGCAAAGATAACATTAAAGCATAAAATTTTGCATAATAAACCTATTGAGGTTGAAACACTATCTGAAATAAAACAAGAAATTAATAAGCACTTACACTTAAATTCTGTCGAATTAAGACAACATCTTCGAAAAAAATTTAATATATCCAATGTCACATCTAAGCAAATTCATTACTGGTGGTCCTAT